GGCATGCTAAGAAATTGAATTGTGCCGAGAAATGCTGTGAGGGCACGTACTTCATTCGAAGCTGCATTTTACTGCCGCCGGCAGTGTTGGTCCGTTTTCAACAACGCCAAGAGGTGGACAATCGAATCCAATGAAGAATAAAAAGACGTCGAGATGCTGCCTCGGTAAGTTCTTCCGAGTTCCGAACAGAGCCATAAAATACTCGCTTACGAGACCGTCGGTGCACTCAAGTTTTCTCGGGCCGGTACAGCTTCGGTTATTACTCAACCCAGCGAAACCACGACAATTGCTGCTGTTGCACGACTATTACTGCTGTTGCACAGTGCCTTTAGTGCGCCTAGACTTCAAATGAATAAATAAACAACAACAACAAAGAAAAATAAACTGTAACCCACAGCTTTTAGTGTTTGTCGAAAGCTATAAAATAAAAAATACGCAAGCGTTTATTGAGGCTTCACCGAAGAACTGTTAGGCATGCGTCAATCTTTACGATCGAGTGCCTAGAGTATGCATCATGTTGACGATTCCTAGTTAGTGTGGGAAAGACTGCAGTGTGTACTTCAAAACTGCAATCCGGAATGGTTAGTGGTTTCAGCTTGCATTATTTACGCGCCAATTAATTGACAAATGCCCTGTGAATGAAAAGAATAACCAGCTGCAACTAATTTGCGCGTAGTGTTAAAAAATGCACCCTCCTTGGCATTCCTTTTTACTGACAATGCATGTTCGCGTAAGGCAAAAGGTTTATGATACTGTACCGAGTGCACTTTACAGGAAATGCTACACTAGCTGTAAAGTTGTGAATGATCATTTTATGAACAGTTCATAATCTGTTTGCAGAACCTCGCTGATAAGCTGCATGGGCCTTTGCAGCACTGATAATTCTGGCTCTATGCGAAAAAAATAAAAAAAAACATCATTACACCTCAGGTTGACAAGTAATGCTTGATTTATGCGGATTATGCGAACAATATTACCATAATTAAACTCAAAAGTATAACTAACAAAATGGTACAATGCTACCGTGTTGACACATATTTTGTCATGCACTGTTTAAAGATATTCTGAAATTTCGGAGATCTTGCAAAAGTTAGTTCACATGTTTTTTTCAATGCATACTAGCCTTGGCCTATCGTACAAGTTGCTAACAGGTGGTATGTAAAGAGGCTGCACATAATACAGAGACACAGCGCTCTTTTTGTCATTTCTAACTGCCTAATTTTAATACCTCAGTCCTCCCAGTTCCCTATGCAAAAAATCATTTGTATTTTGCAACTGCGTAAGCTTGCTTCACTTCCGCAGCATTGGTTTTCAAAGCTTTCGGAATAATAAACGGGTACTTACTGCAAAATTGTTATTTTCTTGGGTCAAATAAAAGACCCGGCCTTCAAGGATCTAGAAAATGTACTGAAAAGTGTGAGTGCACTCTGCAAAAGTAATTACAGTATCGTTTTAAAAGGCTAGTTTCCATTTCTACAGTGCCCTGACATCGTAACACAATTTGAGCTTCTCATCAAGTGCTTGTGCAAGAAATCATGAAACTCGCGCGGCTTCTACGCACTGTGGCTCCATTGCAAACCCACAAGCAGTCATTTTGATATTTTTTGTGACGCTGAGTGACCGTTTTGTTACCTGTTGTCATCACAACTAGCCAGATTGCAGCACGAAGTCCTTAAAATTTCCGTATGTGCCACGGGAAACCTGACTTTAATATAAAAAGTAAGATATCTTATCACAATTTTATTCGCTTTTCACTTGCTCATATTTGTATCCACAAAAGTTCTCATGGCAGAGTAAACTCACCTTCCAAAAGTCGTGCCTTACTCCTTTAGAATGTTGGCTGTGGAGGCCATTTGAAGGTGCCATTGAGGCTTACGTACCGGGCATTCTTAAAATGTCCCTGCTGGCTTGCCATTTTGACAAAAGAGAATGGCCCTCTGTGACTCGCTGCTGAGTTTCGCAATTCATCCAAGACTAGCACCAAGACTCGAAGCTCAATTTGTGGTACAGGTCTATTCCGTTTTTTTTTTTTGTTGTTGAATTTCCTTTTCACTCTTTCTGTACTTAGCTTCACTCTCTTTAGTTCTCTCTTCTGCCAGAGTGATCATCTTTTCAACTCACAGCCACGTTGGCTGGTAAATATGTTGCTTTGCAGGAGCAGTGAAAGTCCGTTCATGAATGTTGAATTTGTTTTTGTTTTCTTCTTTTCCCACTCCTGCAATAGCCTCATTGAGGCTGCAGTATGTAAAAGTGCGTAAGAAGTGGTGTGCACCCGAGGGATGCTTTTTAGGGCTGGGCATCATGAGCTACGTCATTTAAACAAAGCTCTTCTATCATTCTGAGAAGTCTGGACACATGCCTAATTATTGATTTATGCCTCAATTAGCTTGTTTCATTAGCCATTAACAGCTGAATTACATGGAGCAGTAAACCTGAGTGCGATTCGCTGTTGATTCACCATTTATTGGATTGATGACTCTGTAAATATGGTTCACTGTCTCTCACTTATACTGACTTTTTGTCAGACATCTTTTAGTTTATGAGAAGATTCCATTGTTTTGATTCCAATCTAAGCATTCCCTAATTAGCGACTCTCAATTTGGTTTCAGAAAACACTGTTCGACAGAGCTCGCGTTACTGGAACAAAAAGAACACATTCTAAAGGAACTTGACAAAAATAAAATAGTTATTGGCATGTATGTCGACTTTACGAAGGCTTTCGACCTAATAAACCATGAACTATTGCTGCGCAAGTTAGAGCGTTGCCGATTTCGTGGACATGCATCTGCACTCGTAAAATCTTATCTTGAATTCCGTAGGCAGGCAGTTGTTGTAAACGGATTCTTATCCGATACACGGCCTGTTCAGTGTGGCGTCCCACAAGGCAGCATTTTGGGCCCGTTTCTTTTTAACATGTTTATAAATGATATTGTGCAAGCTATACCCTTCGCAAAAATTGTATGCTACGCTGACGACACGAGCATATTTCTAGCTGGAGATAACATAGGCGAGTTGACAGAACAAGCGAATGACGCACTAGACAAACTTGATAACTGGACACGAAAGAACGCATTACAGATAAACAGCTCAAAAACTAAAGTCGTCATCTTTAGAGGAAAAAACAAAAGAGTCGCATTAACAAGAGATATATGTTTTCAGCGTATTTCCCTAGAAATAGTGCCATTGAATAAAACATTAGGAGTTATGATAAATCAAAAACTGTCCTGGAACGACCATGTAAACTATCTTGGTAGCAAGCTGTCGCAGATAATAGGCATTGTTTACAGAAAACGTGAGATACTGCCGCTGAACGTGATGATCCTAATCTATCAGTCTTTATTTTATTCTCATCTAAGCTACTGTCACTTAGTCTGGGGCACCATGACACAAGAAAACCTAAACAAATTACACGTCCTACAAAAGAGCTTCTTACGCGTAATGGAAAACCTTCCTCGCTGGCACACAACAACCGAACTTTTTACCAAACACAAAATTGTGCGGGTAACTAAATTATATGAGTATCGTCTTTGTCATTCCTTCAAGCGTGAAATCAAGTATAGTACATTTTTACTTCGTAAGATTGCTCTGCTAGAGCCGCGAAAACATATATGCAGAACAAGAAATACAGATATATGGCACGTTCAAACATACAGAACAACTTACGGCACGCAAACCCTGAAAAACCAGCTTCCGCGACTGCTCAATAGCTTCGCAGCTAAAAACACACCCCTTGAAACATTGAGAAATAAAGAGTTGTTATCATTTTTTCTTTCATAATTCCTGTTATCTGCTTGCTCGCAATTTCTGTGCCTTAAAAGTGTACTTCCTTGTATTGTGTCTTTCATTTTACTTTTTCTGTTATGGTATGCACATTTGGTTGTGTTTTTTTTTATTCTTGAATCTTTGCTGTTCGCCAAGTCAGAGTCAGCAGCTCAGTCAAGCTGTTTATTTTTTTGGAATTTTCATTGGAACGATCCTCGGATTTTGCAGCTTTTACTGCGGGCCCCTGTCATCATGTACACAATGATGATGAAATAAACGTATTATTATTATTATTAATAATAATATTATTAATATTATTGTTGTTGTTTCTACCCCTCTTCTGCTCTTGCTGCCACCATCCTTTTACAAGCAATAACCTTTGATTTTTTTACGAAATTCATTAAAGTTCATGTGAGTGACCTCCAACTGTGCAGAAAAGTGCTGTGATTGGACCATTTGTTGAACCAGCTGCCTAACTTTATTATTTGGATGCTCGTGGTATGATTGTACTTATCTTATTGTTTCGTCTTCTATGCCGGATCATGTGAACTTCTTCGTTAGCTTCATGTACGTCCACCGAATGCCATCATGACCACCCAAATGACAGCAGTTATGATAAATATTGAATATGTTTTGAAGTAGTGTGGGTGACACTGTGATCAATCTTGCTTGTGTTAGTTTTAGAGCTTCAATTTCTTCTCAAAGCTTCACAGCATTTAATGTTTTACACATCAGTTAGTGGGATACTGCACCAACGTCTTTTGTTGAAGCTTCTGGGTGTCTTCAGGATGGCCAGCGCTTCTTTCTGTGTTGTTGTGCAATTCACCTACGCTTTGTTAGGCGTGTAGCTGCTGTAACCAACCACTCAAAGTTAGCAACTACTTGGCAGTCTTTCATCTCACTATTAAATATCGCTCCTATTCACTATTATGATTCTTCTGTATTCAGCTTGAGTCGTAGACCAATCTAGTAAACTAAGTAGGGGATCACATCACATAATTTTTTAACGATGCGAACCTCCCTCGGCTTCAATTCCTTGAGTTCAGTCTTTGATTTAGCCACTTGTGCAGCTGTTCGTTCTTGTACTCGATGTACATCTCTGTGTGATGTTGGCACAGCTAAAAGTGCAAACTTCTTCGCATGCAACTGTCCTAAAAAACAAGTAAAAATGTCGCTAGACAGCAGGTTGCTGAACTTAAAATTTAAAACTATTTTCTTTTCTGCTCTGCTACTTCTAGTCTGGCCCCTGAAGCAATGTGTATCAGTGACCAGAGCTGGAATGCTGCTGCGCACTACTGCTCAGCTCCGTGTGGAAGAGTACTGCAATAAAGACAGCATCTGCCTTTTGGACTCCTTCTGAAGGTGTTTAGTACACAAAATTTCTCATTCTGCTTGACAAGAAACTTTCACAAAACATATCCTTTGCTGACATTTGAAAATGTAAAATGAACCCATGAATAGCCAGAGCAAACTTGCTCTTAAGGAGACTTTATATTTACTTTGAATAATAAAATCGCAAATCAAGTTTGTAGTGCTGGATCTTTTCACTTTCACTTATGCCCAAACAAGCAAACTCTGTCCTGTTAAGTCATCTGCAAGTACAGTTACACCACAGTGCTGTCTGTCATCAGAGGTGAAATCAAAGTCGAACCCTCCACAACTTTTCGAGGGCTGGGTGTACTTTTCATTGTGCAAAGACTTCAATTTCTAGCACGGTCATAATGCTTGAATTTAAATGCTTTTTGCTGATGATAATATATTATAAAATATTACAATTTCATGGGATAAGCCATTCGGCCTTTATTGTCAATTCATCTGCTGTGTTATGGTGATTTAGGTCAATCAGTCGAAGGTGGTTATCTGTTCCAAATTATATAAACAAATTTGGGCTTAGTATATACAGAAGGAGGTCCCTTAGCACAAGGCTGAAAGGGGACCTCCTGTGAAAGATATACATGTGAATAAGTATAGCAAAATGGCAACTAAAAAGTGGCAAGTCAATAAAAATAATTATAGACAAGGCGAAATTGTAATGCAATTCTAGTAGAAATGGCAATAAAACAATGCTTAGTAATTATACAAGGCTTTGGAAAAAATAGCAGTTGATACTTGAACAAAAAGAACTTCAACTACTGATATACCAGGCAACTCAAATCTACTTAATTGTATTGAATGACAATTGTTTAGTGCATAGTGGTATTGAATTCCCAAAATGTATGGCAGCATATAACGTAGTGTGTTTGCCGTAGTTAGTGCATGTATGTGGTAGTAAGAATTGTTGTTAGAGACGAACCTAATGGAATTAGCGTTTACCAATTGAAATTTATGCAAGACGTTCGCTGTTACGGAACCGTTAAGACACTTAAATACAAAAATCCCCAGTTTATATTTGAATAAATTACACACTGTTAGTACAGTATGTTGCCGAAAAAGTGGGGACACGCTGGTGAATGGAGTACTGATTGTTAAGATGCAAATGGCTTCATTTTGGAGACGTTGAAGTGGGAGGGCATGAGATGGATAGGTGTTCTTCTATGACGTGATGCTGTACGTAATATGACAACGGATAATGGCGTAGTTTAGTTTGAGCCAAGTTAAAGCATGGTCTTGCCTTAATTATTGTTCTTATACCATGAGCTATCCTGTGTCTTTTAAGTAATGAGATGATGGTACTTTAGATGAGCATCTAGGAGCACTCCTAAGAATGTTAACTTAGTGGTACAAAGATGTCTGTGGTTGTTGATAGTAATAGCGGGGGTAGGTGCCAGAGCATTTTGACTAAAATGGAATATAATAAACAGTGTTTTATTTGTGGGAATTGTTAAATTGTCAGCTCTCCACCAGTTCTTTAACAATAATGGTACCCACGGACTTCTCCTGTGTAACTATTAGAGCTTTTTACATCCCATTGTTAATCCGAGAAAAGGGGGGACCACGAGCTGCATGGTCTATGCGACCAACACGTCATTGCCTCATTTTGCAATGTTTCGAAACCTTCACTCTAACACCATGCTAGACAGCTAGATAGCACATCTTGTGACACCCTTAATTATACATCTCATATCCGGAATTCTCTGGCAAAAACAGTTAACATATTCTATTTTCTTTTTTTTTTTGTTTCAGGACAACATTCAAGTTTTCATAGGTGATTTTGCATTTTTTTTCGTGACAAAGCACCCTGAGTATGTAGGCATTTGACTCAACTTGAGCCAGAAAGTGAAAGCTTCTAAAGCTTCTCAAAAAATAGTTTTTATTGACACTAAAAAGTATAATTTAGCCACGTGGCCACTCGTAATTCAGGCAAGAATTTCGCCAATGTGTTGGCACCCTCTGCATTTTCTGTCTGAAATGTGCTGAAATGTAAAACGTACTTTTTTGTAATTGGCTGTGTTAACTTTATTCCTATCTCAGCAGAGATTTTTGTGCTGTCTGCTCTTGTGTTTTTATAAGTATTGCACAAATACTGCAATAATAAACAAGTGCTTATGAACAGGCTCATGCTTAGTTTACTGATGTAAGCTGAGAGTAAAAAAAGATGTGCTGTAAATTGATCCTTCTTTCTATTGGACGACGAGATTCAGAGCAATTTTCACCAAATACACTTATGTTATTACTACCATTTCATGTCACAAATTGGCATCACTTGTAGCCAGGTACAATTTTTCCATTTACGTACCTTGAGGCATCTACAAGGATGTGTTCAATGAGATATGGGGTACAGCACAACAAAAAAGCACTCGTGCTGTTTACAGATGCCCAATCACATTCACACAAAAAGATGGGGGGTCATTGGTAGTGACAACATTACTAGGGGTGTGAAATATTTGAATAAGGAATCAAATAGCATTCGCTAGTCGAATTGAATGGTACGTATGCGAAATATCTAATATTTTAAAAATAATCGGCCCCTATCTGACAACCCTGAAGCAGCAAAACATGGTATAAGCTGAAGGTTTATTTTCTTCTGGTAATCCCTGAATTGCCACAACAAATGTAGCCCTTGTATTGGCAGCACTATTGATGCTATAACCATTACAAGATAAATAATTTTTGCTGCAAACTGCATTTTCACTCTGTTTTCAATGTGGTAGAGCTGCATCGCATTATTCCTTTCCTGTTTTCATCATTGAAGTTAGAGACGATGAGTGCATTTAGCTTCACGAATAACACACATGCAAGTAAGTCTTTTGTTCACGTAAATTGTTCTTACATATACAGCTTTCCACATTGATTTTTACATGCTCTCCGTGCCAGGGTATATGTTATAATAATTTTGCTTGTTTAAATAAATCTTTAGCCGAGCGCGTCGTGTTCGGTTGAAAATTAATTAGGTTTAGGCCGCAATTTTACTTAAAAGCTGGCAACAGAGTTTCAACTTGAATAATGTAGTTGCTGCAGTATATCGACATACAGTTGAAAAGTATTTTGAAGTCTCTGGTTGCTGTTGTATACAAGCTTATCACAGTTTTTATAATTGTGATATTATTGGGTGACACTTCAAGAATAGTTATTGCAAATAAACTCTCGCGGAGTTCTTAGATTATTTTTTAAAAGGTTTCCCTGCTCTTTGAAAACTATCAGAAAAGTATTAGGTTCATCTAAGAGCACTCTTTAGTTATACCGCTATTGGATTCATATTAAATTCGCTTTTGAAATTCACTACTCGAAAACCACTTGCTTGCACGAGTCTTGTAGTATGACAGTGCTCATGCTGTCAATGCTTCACCGCTGTACATGCGTGCATCGCGGTAAAGTGAGCAAGAAAAAAAAACACCGGCTGGAGGCGGGCTCTTCATATGCACCAGCATTCAGTAGATTTCAAAATGTATTTGGGAATACAATGTAACCCACGTCCTTCTCTTCTAATAATAGCGCTGCCTTTCGCTCCTTATGTGGACGGCATTGCTTGGCGTGTTTAAGAGTGACACTACGAAGATATTCGTCTGCAGGTCTATCGAGGAGCTGCTACAGATAATCGTGCTTGCAATTTCGTATCGCTATCGTAATCAGTAGCGGTCGCATTCACTACGAGTAGCCTAAGATATTCCAGAGTGAGTGCAAGCTGAGCTTATATTGTGTGGCTGATAGAGTGACGTGCGCGACGCAGGCACTCAAGTGCTCCGACACCTGCTCTTTGAGCTGCAACAAAAGTTTACCGAGTTACGATTATTGTTATTTAGTCCACACATGAACTCTTTGCACCGTCATCTTCCATTTTTGACTGTATACCTGCGCCAACATCGATGCTTTCGGTGATAGCTGCAAACGAAGCGACGAGTCTTGCGACAGTGTCGACACTGGCATGTGCACAGCGTTTCTGTAGCACCTTCGTAGCACCAACTAGATAGCGCTGTCTTCCCCTTCATCGTAGACGGTTGGCCAGTACGCGTGCGAGCGTCAACCTTCTTCTCGCCTTTGCCGTGGCGTCTGCAACAGCTGTGCCCGCACCCGACACAGGAACCATGCTACTGCGGAGCTGAAGAGATTATTGAACACGTCTTGTGCAGCTGCGCTTGCTACGACACATAGCAATGCCAGCTCCTGATGGCTTTGAATCGACTTGACTCTAGACCATTCTGTGTGCAGAAGATTCTGGGACCTTGGGCATCTGCTTAAATTACGCAGAAAGCGACTAAAGCACTCCTACTTTGCCTAAAGTCAACAAACCTGAGTGAACGCCTGTAGACTGTGTGTGCTCCCCCGAGTGTGTTCGTGATTGTCTGTACCTTCTTATCTCTCTGCAACCTCTTTTCTCCCCTTCATCCTTTCCCCAGTTCAGGGTAGCAAACCGGATGTGCGTCTGGTTAACCTCCCTGCCTTTCCTTGCATCTTTATTTCTCTCTCTTTCTCTGCTGTAGCATCGCCATGGGCGTTCGCTCACGAAATTACGCACGAACCAATGAGCGCACAGCTTCCGAGAGCCTCGTGAGGGTGCCTTGCGCAGTGCATTGTGGGTGGTCTATCCGCTCGCCTTTGTAAGCTCGCGTCCGAGTGCGGCTTTTGCTAGGTCGGCGTGCGCGACAGCGACGGGTTCCGGATCGCCACCGCCTCCAAAGACGGCTGAAAGTCGTCTACGAACGTGAGGCCTGACGGAGGCCTTGTCTCCTGCTGCGACCGCACGTGTCGCCTGCGTGCCTGAGCTCGCTGCGGACAACGGGCATCACCATGCATGGACTGTGAACTCCTTGGGACGCTGGTTCAACCAACTGTGAGTTATCGTGTAGCCACGTAGATTGGGCAGTAGCCATTCAGACTTCAGGCATTTTAAGTGTGTACTTCTGTGCGTGTCTCTGTCATAGTCGATCGAGTCCCTTGTTCCTATAAATGTTGTTGAAGATCTACTCCGGCGTCAACTCATATCGTTCATTTCGTTGACCACGCACGGGCAAACGTGACGAACCACCACTGTCGTTACAGATGAAAACAATGAATGCACACAAACAGTGCCAAATAATTAGTCTGTCCACATTTCAAGCGCTTAAGAACACGAACAACACAAACCCATTCATTCACAATATAAGAGCGGCACTAAACCAGATAGAGAATTATCGCAATAAACTAGCATACACTAAAGCACATGTAAGAACCTTAGGCAACGAGCTGGCCGACCTACCCGCCAAAGAAGCAATCCGAGAAGGTAGATAGTACACGACACCAATATCAAAGTCATACATAAAAACAATCACACCAGAGAAGCTTACAGAACTGGAACAAGCACTGGAACCGGAGGGGGGGGGGGGTCTCGTCACCCTACCAATGGGTCAAGAATATACGAAACCTCTCAGAATCCTTTACCCCTGGCTACTGGGTTACCCGGGCTGTGACAGCACATGGAAGATTTCCCTGTTACATCCATAGGTTCCGGATCATGGACAACGACAGATGTCCATGTAGAGAAAAAGCATCATCGTTTGATCACTGTCTAGACAGTTGTAGAGTAACACTGAAGGATAGGAGAGAAATAAAGAAACACAAAAAACCGTCGAAACACAACACGAAATAACTAAAATAAATACCTGCTTACATGTGCAGAGAAAATAGTCCAACGAATCAAGAGAAAAATCCTTCATGCCCAAAGTACCTAGCGGAAGAGAAGGAGGGAAGCAAACGAATAATCAAATGAAAGGGACAATTTGTGCGAAGCGCGTGTAGCAGCATTGATAAAAAGTGATGGCGCAGTGCTCAACTCTGTCAAGTGAAGGGTGGAAGTCGAGTCGAGGAACGTTTGTGAATACCGGGGTTAATCTTTTACAGCTTGAAGTGCACTATTGCCTATCTGGAAGTGCTGTTGCCTTCCGACGTTGTTGTACATTACTTGTATTTTCTGCAGTCTAATTTTAAGACCCACCTTTTTGCTCTCCTTGTCTAACTCCGCAATCATGAGTTGCAATTCGTCCCTTGAATTACTCAGCAATGCAATGTCATCGGCCCACCTTCTCGCAAATTTTTAAGTTGGTTGTCTGCCTATGTGCATGGTCGGCTTCGCAATGAAGACTACATCAGTTCTGTCTTAATTTTCATTGTACAATTGACTGACGCTTAACTACTATTACGCTAAGCTGTCTTGCCTTCATTGATGAGGCTTTAACTAAAAGGCAATTATATCGGTTGCAATTGTGGAGGCTATGATAAGTATCGAACTATTAAACATATTCCTAATTAGCAGGATACAAACTGTCCTCATAATAGTAAGGGCTAATTAACATGGTTTTACTTAGCGTCCACAGGATTAATTACACGGTAATTAGCATATGCTAGTTAGCTCATCAACTAGCGTGCTTTAGTTAGCCCAGTTCTAGCTTTACATAACTTCAATAGCATGGTACTCTTAAGATGTGGCGCAACTACTTCAGCCTTACCATAACCTTGCATAATTAGCTTCATCATAGCATGTACTGGCATAACTATTTAGGTATACCATCCAGTAAAAATACACAGCATATACATGGAACGAATAATAATGAGTGGGACAAAGCTTCGCAGGGTTTATAGGCATAAACTGTGAATCGTCTGTCTGTCTGTCTGTCTGTCTGTCTGTCTGTCTGTCTGTCTGTCTGCCTGTCTGTCTGTCTGTCTGTCTGTCTGTCTGTCTGTCTGTCTGTCTGTCTGTCTGTCTGTCTGTCTGTCTGTCTGTCTGTCTGTCTG